GGGTCCCAGGCTGTGCACACCCAGCTGTCCATCACCTGTCCCTCCTGGGTGTGGAGAGCCCACCAGCTGCTCTGCCCCAGTCACTGTGAAGCACAGCCTGGCTGTGGGCCACAGGTGCCCTGTGAGCTGCAGAGCCTCAGGACAAGGCCCTCTCTGCATGTGGCCCTCACCACCCACCCTCACCCTCACCCTCCCTGCACCTTCCCATCTTCAGGGGCCACTGTCCTCTCTCTTTCCAGGACCCGATGCAGTAGCCTCCCCATATGAGGGATGGTGTGGTGATGGTCTCCCTCTGCCTGACCCATTCCCACTAGGTCCGTGTGCTCCAGGGCCATGTCCTAAGCCAGGAGGGACAGGATGTCATTCTTGTTGGCTGAATGACATTCCTCCTCTGTGGATAGTATATTTTCCCCTTATTAATTAAGGGACAAAGTGGTGATCAGGGAAAGTACTTTAACACTCATGGAGTTAAGGAGTTAAGGACCAGGCCTCTTGAACTCCACATCCCACCTCCTGTGAACCCTGGGCAGGGGTCATTCCCTCCCCCACCCCAAAGCCTCAGGATGTTTCAGCCCATGTCTCTGCTGCCTCAGTCCAGGCTGCACATGGTGGACTCTCCTGCCCACTTCTGTCCAAGCTGGCCCTGCAGCTAGTAGACATAGAGTGCAGGRGTCTTAGGAGGACTTGCTCCCAGGATCCTCTAGTCATAGCATTAGGACCATTCTGTGTAGGGGTCTCATCTGGGACAAATCTCTGCCTGACCAAACTTCTATCCAGGGCATTCTATGAAATGCAGGTGGAGTTTCCAATTAAATTGGCATTGATCCACACATCAGTCAAACCTATTATGCCCCATGATCTGCTAAGTTCCTAATTACTTGCATTGATAATGATGTCATCAAATTTCACAAGGGACACAGTTCAACTGTGGTCTCCATGAGACACATCAATAGTTAAAGGGAACTAAAGGCTCCTGGTAATGGGAAGGGTCTCTCCTGGGTCTCAGAGAGCAGGAGATCACAGCTCTGTGACATTAGTGCCCAGCTGTGCTGCTGCTCCTCCCTCAGTGACCTCTGTGACATGCCAGGGAATCTCCACCATGACCATGAAGGACACACAGGGCTGCCTCCACCAGGTGACCTTCCTTCTCCTGTGACTGCTTGAGCTGGAGACTCACTGCACATCTGTGGTCAAACAGAGCCACCGTGGACCTGACCCAACAGTGACAGGGACACACTGGATTAATCCTCCTCAAGCCCAGGACCTTGAGAGGACGACCTGTCTACTCCTGGTTGACCCAGTGTGACCCATGTCTTCTCGTGCTCTAGCTCTGCCCCCAGAACCACAGGCCAAGGACCCAATGTCTGATCACTATTGAGATACTGCCCAGGGGATCAGAGGCTAAGGTGTCTGACTGACCCTGAGAAACAGCAGCAGTGACCCTGGGAGGAGCAGCCTGGGTTCCACTTTCGCTGCCCCAGTCAGACGTCCCCACAGGCAGAGAGGCCCCAGAGACCAGGGAAGGCAGGACAGGAGCTCACAGGTGGGCTGGGGAGGGCTGCACAGTGTCCATGCACTTTGTTCCAGGATGAAGGAGAAGCCCAAACCCAGGTGCACTGCAGGGATGCTCCTGGTATGTGGGACACTTTAGCTGTTGCAGACAGTGGGGACCTGCTGCCTGGGGCCATAGCACATGGGTCTGCAGAGCAGAGGGGAGAGGTGGACAAGCTGAGCCCTCCACATCTGAGGTCCCAGCTGAAGGACTTTCCTCATCTGCACCATCACAGACTGAGGCTGAGAGGATGAGGGTCCAGGGAGCTGTGGTCCACCCTGCACTCACTGCTGCCCTGGTGGGGACCATGGCACATCTGTGCTCACACTCTTATGTATCAGTACAGCTGCTTCAAGTCAGCCAAAGGTGCAGAGGGGAGTAGGAAGCCAGAGGCAGACCCAGTGAGCTGACAGTGGCCCAGAATTCTGAAGATGGGCTTTCCTCCACTAGGACATTCATGGTCCCTAGATGGACACTAGGTGCTGCAAACCCACACCCTGTTCTTCATCCAAGAAGGGGTTGCAGAGACCCCACAAGCCCTGTCCTGTACTGTCTATGAGCTCCTTCATGGAGCAGAGGGATTGAGGGGAGAAGCACATACCTAGATGCTGGGCTAGTATGTACTTACATCTTCCTGGACAGCGTGACCAACATGTTTAATATTATGAGTTGATCTTTCATGAATATAATGTCCCCAACATCTCCTACTTGCTCAAGCTTGCCTTGAGCACTGTCATCTCTAAGGCCTCCAACCAGAGCTGCTATATAGCAGGAGGACATGCAAATAGGCCTCCCTCTACTCATGAAAACCAGCCCACCTGACCCTGCAGCTCTGCACAGGAGCCCAGCCCTGGACTCCCAGCTCAGCCCACTCAGTGATCAGGACTGAACACAGCTGCTCACCATGGAGASTGTGCTCAGCTGGGTTTTCCTGGTGGCTGTTTTCAAAGGTAATGAATGGAGAACCAGAGATCCTGAGTGTGTGAGTGGACAGGAGTGAGAGGAAGAGTGGATGAGTGCCAGTGTCCTGACCAGGCTGCCTCTGTGTTTGCAGGAGTCCAGTGTGAGGTGCAGCTGCTGGAGTCTGGGGGAGGCCTGGTGCAGCCTGGGGGTTCCCTGCGACTCTCCTGCACAGTCTCTGGATTCACCTTAAGTAGCTACTACATGAACTGGGTCCGCCAGGCTCAAGGGAATGGTTTGGAATGGGTTGGCCAAATCAACCCAAGTAGTGGTAGCACCTACTACCCAGACTCTGTGAAGGGCCGATTCACCATCTCCACTGAAAATTCCAAGAACATGCTGTATCTGCAAATGAGCAGTCTGAGAGTTGAGGACACAGCCACCTATTACTGTGCTAGAAACACAGTGAGGGGACCTTAGTGTGAGCCCAGACACAAACCTCCTGCAGGGTACCCAGGGCCAGCTGGGGGCGCTCAGCACACAGGGAGCTCAGGTCAGCCAGGAGCAGGTGCAGAGGGGATGGGGCTGGATTCCTGCATCTGGGGCCTCTCATGAACCAGATTCCCAGGGGAGCTCTATGTACATATTTTTCTGTACTGACCTGTGACTTCTCTAAAAGTAAACCTGGATTTTTAATTATTACTTCCGTTTTTATTAGCACATAATATTATAATATCGCATTTCAATTTGACATAATTTAAAAATTATGCAATAAAATTTTTTCCCCTTCACAACCTAACATTTCCTTTCCCTCCCCTCCTCTTTAGCCCTCCCTCCTGACCCTCTTCCTCTTCCTTTCCTTAACACATCTTTTTTAGTGATCTGTTTACATTAGTGCTTCTTAGAGCACATAAGGGGAAATCCACTGTGGTGTCCTCACACAGGGGCACAGGTGGTTGGTCAATTTCCTTCCACCTCCCTTCCCATCTCTGTCGCTCTTTTCTCTCCCTTGATCCCCTTCCTCTCCTCCCTCCTCCCTCTTCTGTTTCCTTGGGATTCTTCCCAGAACGTCTTCTATTTTTTGGTCTGGAATTTGCATTTCAAAGTAAACAGTTGACATTTCACCCTCTGAATCTGGCTTAATAAACATGATATTCTCCAGTTCCATCCACTTACCAGAAAATGCCCTAATTTCCCTCTTCCTGTGGCTGAGTGAGACCCTCTTCTGTGTATTCACCACCTTCTCTTTATCCATTCATCTGTGATGGGCATCTGGGACATTATCTATATAGCTGTTTTCAGACCCAGGTGCTCTTTACACACTGACCTGGGCTCACCCTCCCCAGGGCAGGCAGCTGTCAGTTCACACCAAGGCTGCACCCTCCTCTTCCAGACCAGAGCACGGGATCCCAGAGTCCTCAGCCCACATGCACACACTCACACACACATACTCATTCATACACACACACACACACACACACTCCCTCACACACACAAATACACACAC